AATAATTCGAAGATAAAACTATGTGCGAGTGTGCGCATGCACAGTGGGCCCCCACGGCGTCTACAAGTGCTAGAAACGTATCCCACATGGAACATGAGCATTTCGTTTCCTCATATAAAATAACAAAGTAATCTATATGGTATAAGAGCTTTGTGCTTGCTAGTGTCGTGTACCATTCGTAATCAAATGACGTAAGACGATCGCTAAACGTTTAATTATCGATCTTCTAACATCTTAGTGAGCGAGTGAGTGAGCGAGTGACACATTTGCATATTCAGACCCCTCACAATAACTCGTTTCTACGCTTCGCGTATCCACGAGTTAAAAAAGAAAAAAAGAAAAAGAAAAAGGTGGAAGAAGTGGTCATCTTGATTTTCGAAGCCAAACTCATATCCAAATATGGTATCGAAATCCTAACATGCATATCTGAATATTTCTGAGTATGGTTATAGTGTTACGCGTTTAAACTCCCTTATAGAGGTTCTGTACCGTCATGTGATGGCAGCCATGACAGGAGGCAGGAACAATTTAATCCGGTCTAATCTGATTTACATTGCATGAGAAAGAATTCGTTTTCCCAGGGGAGAACGACTCTATTGTGGTGCCTCCGGTCAAGGCCTCTATGAGTTTCTACTTAAACAAAATAAAATGAGAAACGTCGGTTTTCTTGTCATTTGATGTTGGTTTATCGTTTAATTTTTTTTTATTACATTATCGTACTTTGTCCGAAAAGATGGATGCTAGCCGGCTAATCTTTGAAAAATTACATCTTCTCAACGAATTTGGTGACTCCCATTTTTTATTCCATATTTCCACTCTAGCACTCAAAATAGATATATGTGCCAAGCTTGGGGAAAAAATCGATAAAAAATGTATTATTGTGCTATTTGTTCTTGGTTTTGCTTCAACTTTGTCTAAGAAGGTCGGCTTAAGGCCGGGCATTAGAAAATAATATCCGTATTCTTTGACATTCCAGTTTCTGTAAAGATAACAGGAGGTCGTAATGAACAAGAAGGAAATGTAGAGGCTTATATGAATAGGGTGATGGTATTCCTGGTCCTAAACAACGACAATGAACAGAACGTTGCCAAGGTGATCTGCCGTACTCTTGGACTCCCTCCGCCAATCATGATTGTTCGATATACCAAGAGGTTATACCTCCAAAGGTATTCGGATTCTAAAGGCTTCCTTCATATCCTTCTGCTATGCACCGGGAATGAGCGACATATTTCAGACTGCAATACTATGAGTATTAGTTCTGCAATTTTATCTAGTGGAACTCTACCTGGTGTTTCGTGTAGGAAAGGTATGATGATATTTAGACTGACATTCAAAGACTTATTTCAAAAAAATTGGAATTCTGCATACTGAATGACGCACACTGAATAAAGTTGCTTGGAATTTAGAAATATATTTTCGTGGATGGAGGAAAATATGATCAAATGTCTTCCGTTTGAGAATAAAATCTGTTCATCCATTCCAATTTCATTCATATTGTTGAATGTTCTCAAATGATTCTAGTCAGCTATAGAAACAGTACTCTGCTTGAAATTATGGGTGATGTGTTAAGGGAAAGGATTGGATAGATCCACAAGAGTACACTATCGCTCAAACTCAGCGATTGTTATTTTTAYTCACAGATTATCAGTGCCCAACAGGATGCAGATGCGATTTGGTCTACCTTTACGGGATGGAGTATAAAGTTTGGTGCGTCAACTCAAACCTCACAGAGACAATACTCCCTCTTCCTGGACTAACAAGAGTTTTGTGAGTTTCAAACAATAAAGCGCTTTGGTATTATGTTGGGTTTTGATGAGTGAGGGAAACTGAAGAACCCGAGTGAATGTCCTCGAATGAAGGGAAAGACCTAACACCTATAACCCTTTTGACAATATTCTAAGTATTGCTTTTACATTGGGAAAGCTAAAAATGACCCCCAAAAGCGTCACAGTTAGAGTGCGGCTTCTTGAAGTTATACAGGGTTTTTCCATGGCATATGCTAAAGACTGTAATGTATGAGGAGGCATTTATGTTTATTTGTTGTTCCTTGTAATTCGAAACACCGGCTACTATGTCAAAGCTAACTTGCCATAATTTCTGTAAGAGCTATGGGTAAAACAATGATGTATTTGTATAATGAATGATCTTGATTACTCCTCATACGTCACATACCTCATTCCTGGCACGTCACCGAGCGGAATACGTTTTTACGGGTGACGCCATCAAAGCATGGCCTGCATTGATATTTTGTGTTGATTTCTCAAAGATCTCTTGTTAACGATGGAGAAAAGACAGAGATGGAAGAATTGCATTTTCTTCGTCTACCTTATTGTCTGAAAAAATTGTGAGTTCGTTCTTTAAGATAGGGAAAGGTGGAAAAGGTGGCGTGCTCTAGCAGACCCTAAATTATGCTAGATTTTCTAATATACGTGGGGGAGGTTAGGAGCTTTGGCGAATTGCTTTTAATGATGCTTGGAGCTGGCTTGGAGCTGGTTTCCAGTTTACAATCATAAGGAGTTTTATTTATGCCCCGATGCGACCGAGCAAGGGCACTAAAGATGGCAGCATGGGCTGGCCCGGTCTTTAACGAATCTTTTGCCTTAGTCTAATGCTGCGTGTTGAGGGGAACGCTCATTTTACCAAACCTCCACCCTGTTTCAGGATTATACGACGAAGTTATAACATATAGGTTTTTCCTTTCGTATGCATTATTATTATTCATTATTTTCATTATTCTAAAGTGTTGTCGTTATACATCGTTACAGTCAAACAAGCTCACGCGTTGACCCCTAGATTCGATTAATGAAATCATTAGTCAATTATTCCTTTTATACGTACGAACCGGAATAATGCAATATTGCAATATTCAAATGAAAATTCAGTTCATTATTCGACTCGTGATGAAGAAGCTGGTAAATCATCTAAATTACAGATACCTTCGAGCAGAAGTCCCTCTCCTATTTCATAAGCATACACACTAGGTTTTGTAATTTCCATGCCTCAATTACTTGGAGGATATACATCAGTAATTTCGTAGGGAACGCTCCCGCCTTGATCAAAATGGAGACACAGTTCCATGTCGTCGATAATGTTGAAGTATTTTCTGGACTCCCTAACTAGAAATTTTCAGTTGTCGCGAAATCGCTTTGTTGGACAATCCGCTATTGCTGAGATGAACAATTTACTGTCGAATAATATCAGGTAAAGGCTTTCCCAGCACATAAACACGGCCAAGACTATTTCTGGCCGCCATGTTTTCTTGGTCTTCCGGCTGTGTTAGCACTGATTAACCAATCAAAATGTCGTATATTGAATTTAAAGTTGATTGGAATTTTCATATCTTCGTTTTCGACGTTGTAAATTTCAACTGAATAATGAAATCAAAATTCGAAAATTCAAATCATTAATCGACTCTAGGGGTCAACGCGTGAGCTTGTTTGACTGTAATTACGTGTCGAACTAAATGAATCATGTCCTCTTATTCTACAAAGGGAAATCAAAGGCTATGTAATTCATCGTCTTAAAAGCAGTTATTTTAAGAAGCTTAACCATTTGCTGGAGCTGTAAGTGTGTAGAGGAGCCAGAGTATAAGGCATCTTTTTATTTAAGTAGTTAAGGCAAAATCCGCAACACGAAACAATATTAAACACACGTAGATTATGAATACAATAGTTTTGAGTCACATTGAATGAAGCTGTTAAGTTGTGACGTATTTCCGGATCCACAAAAACTCTAAAATATAGTGAAAAATGCTGTAAATTATTTAATCTCCACCTGAGACAATTAGAACTTTAGATTAAATATTCTTTCATTAACAAAAAGTAAGAAGTTTTTTTATATAACTGCTTTTCGTTTTTGACCCGGAAGTCGTTTTGTCATACGACTGACGTCACACTTAACAGCTCTTTATCCTACGAGGCTCCTACGAGGCTCCTGCGAGGCACTGCGAGGTATTTTCTAGTACTAACACGATAAAGTAGTATACACATAAGGCGCACCGCCTAATGAAAAGAAAAGGTAACATATACGATGGCTTTTTCTGGCTTTTGATTGTGTGTATTAAAGGAATGAACGAAAATTCATGATAGTATGAATACGCTTTTTTCTATTCTAACTTATATTATTTTATCTGTGAAATTTGGGTAGTTATATTTCTACTTTATTTTTTAGCATAGTTTTTGTGTGTGTGTCTATGTAATAATAGTAAAAAAGAACATTTGAAAATTTAAGGATTTTACATCAAAATAACCTAAAGGACATAGAGCCGTGGATCATTACAAAACTAAACATGAACAAAATGTGAGTATAGCTAAAAATACGGACGAACGGACGAACGGACGAACGGACGAACGGACGAACGGACGAACGGACGAACGGTTACTCAATATAGATATACATTTATATTTTTCATCTCATTCAGAGATATTCAAAACAACAACATTACTCGCCTGAGGAAACATGCTTTTGGGGTATTTGTAGATGCGACGAAGCGTAAGTACATCTTCTATAAACAAATTTTAAACACAGAAACACTTGATATATAAGTGGAAGAATGGCTGGGTGTAAGACTGCGACCAGAAGAACCATTCGAAAAATGAACTTTGAAATGAACTTTTTAAAATGAACTTTTTAAAATATTATTTGTTCTTTGAGTCCCATTGTTGTCATAGGGGCACTGGGGTTAATTCACAAAGGATTTCTTTTTTCCCTTTTAATTTATTTATTTTATTTTTTTATTATAAAATATTTGAGATATAACGCGTGCGCTGATTGGCTGGCTACCGTGTTTATATCAGAGGACCGAGATACGCTCGCGCGAAGTCATTCAAAAATATTTTATAAAGAGAAGTCGAGAAGTCCAAAAATACACTCGGCTGCGACTCGTGTTTCTCTACGACTTCTATCTTGCTCTACAGCTCTCATCATGTTTATATCACAGTATATAGACACGCGCGCCGTTTTATATTCCTTAATTTTAATTATACCTCGTATCGTAAACATATTCTTGTTTTCTCAAGGCCCATGGATTGGACTCGGTAAACTAAGAAATTTTTAAGCAAAATTGAAACAAATTGTAAATAAAGATAATTATTATTATTATTATTTTACTTGTTAGAGCAGGCTGATTATTTTTGTCAGCTCTCGCTGATGTCGGCCTGCTTTCACCCACACTCACTACCACTACATTTACTATTTTATGCACACAACGCTCGACTCACAGCTTTCTTTTTGTTTCAGGATTCTTTTTAATAACTCGATAGAAGTTTTGGAGCAAGAAATATTTGGATTAGTAATCTCAATGTAAGTACAAGATAATAGTCATATGGCGTGACATGTCACATGTATGGTAGTGTTACAATGTAAGTACAAAATGATAGTAGTCCTATGGTGTGACATGTCACATGTAAGGTAGTGTTACAATGTAAGTACAAAATGATAGTNTGTAAGTACAAAATGATAGTAGTCCTATGGTGTGACATGTCACATGTAAGGTAGTGTTACAATGTAAGTACAAAATGATAGTAGTCCTATGGTGTAACATGTCACATGTAAGGTAGTGTTACAATGTTTAAGTACAAGATGATAGTCCTTAAGGACAAGTCGAATAACGATTGGTACTCCAGGCGATCCCCGAGCTATTTCAGCAGAATTCTAACATTAGACATGAAAGTTAAGAACCATATAAGAGACTTAACTTGGTCTACCTAGAGGTCGTGTAAAAAACATTGCAATAGATATAATAAAAGTAAGAAAAATTCGATTATTACAAAAATAAATATATAAGTTCCCACAATTGCAAAAGAGAAGAAGACAAATTTATACAATATTAATATTATCAATACTAAGTGTAGTTGACGCAGAGATCATAGTGTTTTATAATCAATATCGAAAGACAGATGATAGCTGATATTATAGCGTGAAATTATCTCGACGATAGGTGAAACATACAATAAAAATAAAATAGGTCCCAAAACCGATCCTTGAGGAACACCAMAGTTGAAAGAGTGAGGAGGTGATGTGCCCCCTTGAACACTCACATAAAATTGCCTCTCACTTAGATAGGATCGAAACCATTTAAGAGCTGATCCCCTAATCCCAAATTTCATGAAAAGTCTATTCAACAAGATTTCATGGTTTACAGTGTCAAAGGCAGTCCTCTGGTGTTCAAACATGGGGTACCTCAAGGCTCAATACTGGGTCCATTGTTATTGAATATTTATATCAATGATTTACCATCTGTTTGTGAGTCTTGTGACGTTGAGTCCTATGCCATGTGATGATACCAAATTAGCGGATAACTCTGTTAAAGACCTTGGAGTTATATTGGACAACCATCTCTCCATTAGTGACGATATGGACTCCTTGGTATCATCGCTTATGGGTAAATTGTCCATGATCAGCAGTATCCGCCATCTGTTAGATGCGTCTAGTCTGTCCATCGTCATCAATTCTCTTGTTTTCAGCAAGCTGTATTACTGTTCCAGTGTATGGTCAAGCACTAGCTAGAGTAACATCTCTAAACTCCAACTTGTACAGAACTTCGCGGCAAGTATTCTGTCTGGGAAAAAGAAGCACGAGTACCTGTTGTGTACACATTGTACTTAAGAGATGCATTGCTAATGCTTAAATGCATGAACTCCTTGGCTCCTGATTACCTCTTGTCTAGGTTTGTCAAGCGTTCTGATATTCACTCAAGAGACACTAGAAAGAAAAGTGACCTACAAATCCCAAAGTGCAGAACTGCCACTGGTCAACAGGGTTTCACTTACAGAGGTAGTAAAATTTGGGACAGCCTGTCAACCTCAATCAAAGGCTCAAAGTCCGAAAATGCATTTAAAAAAGCCTAGCTCAAATAGCTACTTTTAGATCGTTTTCACAAAGACCTAAACTAAGACTTTACCTGTAATATAACAATAGTAACAGAGTAATACATTCCACATATACATCTTTCTATTCTTTCATTATTAGCTTTATGGACAGTTGTATTACTACGATAATTATAAGACTTTATATATAGGATAATAAAAATATCAATATTTTTTAAACTATTGACAATGGGCCATTGTGCATTTTGCATGGAGATCGTGAATAAAACTTGATATATCTTTGTGATCACTATTGTGATCACTTATCGATAAAGAATATGTTTCCTGAACAAAGAATCTTCTCTTTATCATTTGTGTTAAGGTGATCAATAAGTGATCTACAGTCTGAAGTTATCCTGGTAGGTTCGTTAATTAGCTGGCTTAACTGGTAATTCAATTAGACCCATGAAGTTAAGATTTAAGTCTCCTAATATGCATACTTCTTTGTAAGCCAAATCTGCTTGTCTCAAAAATATATGGAATTTATCGAAACAATCAATAGATGATTTTTGAGGACGATACTAAGTTGTTATCAAAAATGATATAGCATAGAGGGCCTAATGTCAACTGATATCACCTCAAGGATGGATGGACGGACGGATCTTTATTTACGTTTTTTCCTCATTAGCACAAAAAGTTCCAAGCTACAAGCTAACTGATTCCAGAAATCGAAAGAGAATGTCTTATTTAGTAACTGCTGATAAGTTGAGAGTAATATGCTCAATATTTTGGGAGTAAAATATTTTTGAAAACACTATAAATTAAAAAGAAATGTTTGGTTGTGTGGCAAGTCTTGCTACACGACCATACATTCCTTTGTAAAACATACCACTTTCAAAAAAATGTTACTCCCAAAATATTTAACACATATTACTCTCAAATTTTCAGTAGTTACTTAATAAGATATTCTCTTTCGATTTCTGGAGTCGGTTTGCTTGTAGCTTGATATTTTTTTAATGCTAATGAGGAAAAAAGTAAATAAAGATCGGCCTATATTTTTACTTTTAGGACTATCGAAGGAAATAATATTTCAACAATTGAATCATGGACTTTCTTTTCAAGTTCAAGGTGAGTAAAACACATCACCTCACTCAGACGTACACTCAAATTTACAAGATAATTTAGTAACGACTGAGTGGCGCTACTCTGATGCAAACATTATATCCATAATTGGATTATCTATAACTGGCATGCATTATTTAGTACAAAATAATTTGCAAATGAACAGAGCGGACCGTTGTCTGAAAACTGGCAAAGGATTACCAATTTATATCCATTTTTTAATCTATTTTGATAAAAACGTCTTTTGGAAATTACTTTAACATGTGTGTTTACACTGGATACATCAAAATTTCATCGTAGTGGTACTTTGAAAAATAAATAGCACTGATAAAACAAGAGAAGATATCAATTGATTATGTATTTGCACTGTAAATACTAGCATTGTGGTATCTGAGTAGTTTAGTAATTGCATGTACATAACAGCCGCTTTTCATAATTCGTTCGAGTTCGTTCGATTGGGAGCGATTGTTATGAATGTAATATAATGCTTTAGTTGAGTCCTTTAGTTGATCTCCAAAGCGAAGTGACGCATATTTTTTATGTCCCCCCCCCCCCCCCCCCCCCACATATACAACCACCCCTCTTCCCCTCCCTCTATATAGCAGTTTATTATTTAGATGTGATTTTCTAGTTTTTCTCCGTTCTGCAAAAAGGTCAACTATGAATAAAATGGAAAACAGACTCTTAAGATGGGAACGAGACTATTCATTTATTCAACCTCCAACAATGATGGATTCAGTTTATTTGTAAGTTCAACAAGGTTCTAAATGCATACTTCAAAAACACACCGAATTCAAACCCAAGCCAAATAAACTAACCCAAGCTAACTAATAAACCCAAACCAATCTACCAAAAATATATATATAGACCAAAACCCAAACCCAAATCAACAAACCAACCCAAATTAATCTACCAAAACAAGCTGAACCCAAACCTAAATCAAGTAAAATTCCAAAGGTTCAAAGGTTCAAAGGTTTTTATTTACCACAAATTACATCGATTACAATAAGAAAAATGGCGGTGGTGGTGGTGGCGGTGGTGGCGGTGGTGG